TTGCTGACACACCTCCCTCACCAATTCTGTCCTCCTAACCATAGCTCCCTTTGCTTCTGTTCCTTTGTATCTGTAGCCAACTTTGCTCTAGTTCCCTTCACCTGGCTTCTTGTGCTAACGCACTTCAGAATCGCCATTTTCCTCCTTGTGCTCTTGCTCCTGGCTTTCTCCATCTGTCTTTTTCTCCTTCCAGCTGTTTTCCGGAGCAGCTGTTTCCACCACCACACAAAGCCCAGATGGCTGAGTACTGACTATAGAGAGACAGGCACGCTCTTCTCAGTTCCTGTGCCTGGAGCCCCATGATATCCCACTCTGCCCCTGTAGTGGCAGAAATAGATGGAGTCCAGTCACATGGAGGAAATGTGAAGGGCTGAAGAATGTTTATGGTCTTCAGAGACGCTAAATACTGACCTCCTGAGTCTCCACATGGATTATGTGTCCTTTTTTGCCCCAGAACTCTGGCAGTTGGTCGCTCTTGAGTAGTTTCACAAAGACAATGAAAGGCATTTCCTTGATTCCAGGACAACTACCACATCTAAACTTGAAGTCACCATCCCAGAGGTACAAGATTTCCACTGTGAAAAAGCTTCGAGAGTATTTGTTGTGTGCATGTAATAAATCACTTCTATTCTGTTCTGAAAAGCAGGTCAATGGTTTTAGCTGAAGCTCAACAAGCAGCCCGCTTGTGGCGGACACAGCCCATGGAAAGTTCCATCCAGATGGTTTCAGGCCGGCAAATTTTAAACAACTGGAAAGAGGGACTTCTAATGGAAAATGTTAGGAAGTCTTATGCATGGCTACCCAGTCCTTCCAAACGGCTTACTCTCCCTACTTAAAGTATGTGTGTGCATGTATGTATGTATTATATATATTTTTATACATCCAAACTGGCACCACTTAATACTATTAAGAGAACGTCGTTGCTGTAAAAACTCCTTCCCTACTGAACAATCTTTGCATGGGTTTTCCAGCACAGCACTCACTTGCACAGCATAAGCGGGACACTTTGAACACGTCACACCACTGTTTTAAGCCACTACTACAGTTTCAGCTACCACAGTTGGCAATTATTTGAAGAAGAGAAAAATGATGAGCCTATTAAAAAGCCTGAAACTGAGCCCACGAAAAACCTTTGGGGTATTTCAGGTTCTAAGCACGTCAGCAGTGCGAGCCGAACAGAAAGCTTTGCAACATTGCCCGAGTTCTCCTTGCAACACAATACTACATTGTCCAGGCAAGGGTAAGAACGCTCCTTCTGCAGATAGATGATCTTGGCAGAAGTACCTTTTTAATGGCCATATTTCATTTCCAAGCTAAACATATCAGTTAAAACTCCTACTCCTTTTTCTTTTTTTTTTTCCCCTATCAAGGAAAAGTCACTATTTCCCCAAATCACACGCATCTTAGTTTCCAGCAACGTGAACCACAGGCTGAATGCTTGGTAATTCTCCATTAAAAACATTAGTGCTTCTAAGAGCAATGACCGAAAAAAACATATCTGTGTTAAAAAAACCAACCAACTTCTTACAACAGTTCTGGTAGCGAAACTCCAAGCTCTCCTCTGCTTGGGACAGTTGGAACTGGCACCTCGGCCCTGCAGGTGTCGGAGAAGTTAATGCTTCTGGCAAGAGGCCGGGTCAGGCAAACTAGTTTTAGCTGTGACTTTCGGCGCGTACTTGGTTGCACCGAGCTCACCTGGCGCACGGTAAGCCCGGTACCCCTAAGCCGGTGC